AAATATATTTTATTAAACCAATGGTTAATTCTCAGTTCTTGTAATTTGCCACATTTGATCACTCCTTCCTTCATAACAGATAAAGAAAGTGAGGCTCAGCAAACATAAGTGACTTAGTGAAGATCACAGAAACTAGTACATATGAGAGAACAGATTAGGACTCTGATATATGTGACTCCAAAACCCATGCTCAAAGAAGCCTCATAAATAATCAAAACTGGGGAGTCAAACCCATAGCAAAAAGCCTAATAAGCCCTTTTCCTGCTCCTTGGGGTATAATGAGGGGGAGATCAACTTAAATGTACACATGCATTTAAATAAAACTGGAATGAAGCCTCTTGATTTTTCCCCCATTCTGTGTTTTTTTTCCATCTCTTCCTGCTGATTTCATCTTTAATTTCATAGTACCTGGTGAAGTAACTGACTGGGTGGCTAAGTCAGTTAAGCATCTGACTTTGGCTCAGGTCATGATGCTGGGGTCCTGGGATTGAGCCCTGCAATGCTCCCTGCTCCGTGGGGAGTCTGCCCTCCCTTTCCCTCTGCCCCTCCCTCCACTCGTGCTCTCTCTCGCTCTCTCAAATAAACAAATAAAATCTTTAAAGAAAATGTTAATAAAATTCCCTTCCAATATATAAATGAACAATAACATTTTCAGTGGTATCTGAGTACCAACTGGATGATATTTATTCAGCAAATATATATTTTTTTTAAGATTTTATTTATATATTTGAGAGAGAGAGCAAGAGAGAGCAAAAGCAGTGGGAGTTGCAGAGAGAGAGGGAGATGCGGGGCTCAATCCCAGGACCCTGGGATCAGGACCTGAGACAAAGGCAGATGCTTAACGACTGAGCCCCCCCAGGCGCCCCTATTCAGCAAATATTTACTCAACGCCTACAATGGGCACATATTTATACCTTATCTATATAATCCTACCTAGAGATCTTTTTTTTCTTTAAGATTTTATGACTTGAGAGAGAGAACACATGTGCATGTGTGCACTGGAGCTGAGGGAGGAGCAAAGGGAGAGGAGAGAGAGAAGCCCAAGTAGACTCCATGCTGAGCATGGAGCTGGAAGTGGGGCTGGACCTCACGACCCGAACATCACAACCTGAGCCAAAATCAAGAGTCAGACACTCAACCACTGAGCCACCCGGGTGCCCCCTGATATGGAGATCTTGACACTTTAATAGAACTAGAAATTTTATACTTCCCCAAATGCACAAACATACTTGTACATTAGTCGGGTAACTAATTAAGGAGACAGTATGAAAGAGTACAATATTTGAATTTAGAATCTTACCTCAGACTTTTACAGGCTATTCCCGTGTCTTTGGTATACTTGGACACATAACAGAAATACTTAACCTCTTTATTATTAACCAGTCTAAGTAGGCTTGTAAGTAAAATGGGGATAACATTCATCTTATGGTGTCATGTAACTATCTAGAATAGCACCGTTCAAGAGAACCTCCTACGATGATGAAAATGTTCTATATCTGCAATGTCCAATATGGTAGCCATTCGCCACATGTGGCTACTAAGCACTTGAAAAGTGGCTAATGTGACTGAGGAACCAAAATTTTTTATAGAAATAAAATTTTATTTTTCATTCAAACTCCAAGAGACTCTCACCTAGGAACCAAACTTTAAATTCTATTTAATTTTAATTATTTAAAATTTTAATTGCCATCTATGACTAGTGGCTACCACACTGGACTCTAGTGATCTAGAACAAAGCCTTGTACATAACAAATGATCAATGTAGCTTAACTCCCATCTTCCTTATCCATAGCAATACTTTTTTATATCCTCTAAACCAGCAAGTAAGTTCAACTAAAAAGAATCTCCCATAAAAAAACTAACTTATAGGGGCGCCTGGGTGGCTCGGTCGGTTAAGTGGCTGCCTTCAGCTCAGGTCATGATCCCGGGGTCCTGGGACCGAGCCCCCATCAGGCTCCTTGCTCGGCGGGGAGCCTGCTTCTATCTCTACCCCACTTGGGCTCTCTCTCTAATAAATAAATAAAATCTTTAAAAAAACAAAAACAAACTTATAGCTATTAAGTTGCTTCTTCAATCAAGCAGCAATGGCAGCACAGAAACAAGTGATTTATTAGTCATATGTGCCACACACTGTACTAACAGCTTTGCATGAATGCTTCATTTAATTTATAATAACTTTGTAAAGTAAGTGCTATTATCTTCTAAGTAGAGAAATTAAGCTTAGAATCTGTCCAAAGACAAAGAGCCAGTAAGTCAGTGAGCAAAGATTTAAACTCAAGCAGTCTAGGGGGCGCCTGGGTGGCTCAGTTGGTTAAGCATCCAACTCTGACTCTGACTCCTGACTTCGGCTCAAGTCATGATCTTGGGGTGGGGGGGTCATGAGATTGAGCCCCGCATCCACTCCAAGCTCACCACAGAATGTGCTTGTCCCTCTCCCTCTCCCCCCTGGCCATCCCCCTGCTCTTTCTCTCTCTCTCAAATAAATAAATAAAATTCTTTAAAAAACAAAACAAAACAAAACCTCAGGCAGTCTAATTCCAGAGACGGTGCTTAACCACAATGCTAAACATGCTTGCATCTTAAAAGAACCAGTTTACAAAAAATTCATTATATACTCTGCAGTAAATAAATGTCCTCCCAACCAAATACCACCCCCAAACACACGCGCGCGCGCACACACACACACACACACACACACACACACACAAGCACACACCAAATTAGAAATCAGACAATTTGAGCTACAGACACAAAGTTATACATGGTAACTGGCTGACCTGAAATAAGTCTCATGTGCCAACTGGTGTGACTGTATAAATGTACCAAATCTAGTGACTTCACATTTATTAGAAAGACTGAAAAAATACCAACACCTTTCTCCCCAGAATAAAATGACTAAAATATAAACTCATATTTTAGAGCTAACAATCTAAGTTGATAGAAGGGTGGGGGAGCAGAGGTTGGGCTCAGAACCATAGGCAGACGTAGTCAATATTTACTAAAGCCCCTATGTCACTGTCTACAAGGGATATTTATTTAAGACATCAAACATTTCTGCTAGGAGATTAACCAGATCCACTGCATTTACATGAAGCACACTGCCACTCTTATCTCAATTCTAAAAGCAGCTTAATTCATTTAATGTCTGCTGTATTTATGACGAAGTCTTTATTGTGCCCAAAGCTCGAATTTTTTTTTCAAGATTTTATTTATTTATTTGACAAGAGAGAGATACAGCGAGAGAGGGAACACAAGCAGGGGGAGTGGGAGAGGGAGAAGCAGGCTTCCCGCTTAGCAGGGAGAGCCCGATGCAAGGCTCGATCCCAGGACCCTGGGGATCCCAGGACCCTGGGATCATGACCTGAGCCGAAGGCAGACGCTCAACGACTGAGCCACCCAGGCGCCCCCCAAAGCTGGAATTCTTATTCCAGTTCTGCCTGACAAGTCAAAGGAATATTTTACACAGCAAGCCACAGCATACTCTTTACCAAATACCACAGGAATTTCTGAGTGGCACGAAGGGTCATATCTGACCCATTTTCCCCTCTCACAGAGCAGCGAACAAGAAAAGGCCACTGACCTTTTACCCAGATCAAAACAAGGTACGTAAATCTTTCTCCTCCTTCCTACCAAAATATCTCTAGCTTCTCTTCAAACCTCATGATCCTTACATTGCATAAGGCCCTGGGCTAAAGGTAGCACTGAAAAAAAGAGGTTCTATTTATTGAGACATTCTGAGGTAGCGTTAAAAAAAAACACAACACCTGTACTTGTTCAGATTTCTGTCATAATTCAGCTTAAGCAACTGCAGATGAAACTAAAACCATAATAAAAATATGAATAGCACCGATGTTCTAGAAACACTATTGAAAAACCGAGGAGCTGATGGGAGGTTCAACAGTCAAGTAATTACGGCACCATCAGTGTAGCTTTGTCTGACGTGCTGTGTGACCTGGAGCTAGTCCCTTTGCCACTTTATGCCATTCATTCTGTATCAGTGAGAGAGAATTAACTACTATATATCTCAGTGGAACAGTGAGTAGATTAAATTATTAAGCAAAATGCTTTGGGCAAAAGTCGTATGAATGTTAAATATTAGGATTTACAAGCATTCATTTTCCTAGCACTCCTGTGGGGTTAGGAAGTTATCTCGATTTCATAGATGAGTAAACAGGCACAGGGGGTAAGGTCACACGATAAGCCTCCATTTACTTAGTCCCTGTGGGAAGGGAATAATACACACCTTTAGCAATCATATGAACTTTCTTGGCACATCCTACACAATCTTCAAAACATTCAATCCTTAACTTAATGTTGCCATCTTTCACCACGCTGTCAATGGAACAAAAACAGCTCTAAGATAGCAACAAGGCCTAAGTAAGCGAAGATGAATAAATCTCTGTGCTTTAGCAAGAATAATCATAGAAAGACACATAATCTTAAGATGAAATCTGCAGGCGCCTGGGTGGCTCAGTTGGTTAAGAGTCTGCCTATGGCTCAGGTCATGATCCGGGGGTCGTGAGATCAAGTCCTGCATCGAGCTCCCTGATCAGCGGGGAGTCTGGTTCTCCCTCTACTCACCTGCGTGTGATCTCTCTCTCACACTCTCTCTCTCAAATAAATAAAATCTTAAAGAAAAAAAAAAGATGACATTTTCAAAGTTTCGCCTCCACTACCACGTAAGAACCTTCAGCCATAGGAATTAAGGAACATGGTTTGCTATGAAAACACTTTGAAAAATTTTTAAAGGCTTTCATAGGCCTTCCTATTGGTGTGCCCCATCCAAATTCTCTGGGAGTGTATAGCTGCCCTTCAGGCTTTAATTAGCAACTCTGCAGAAAAAGAAAACAAGTCCAAAGAGACTGAAGAATGAATAAGTACCGAGGAGAAGGGCTTAGGAAGTCCAAAAAAGGGCAAAAATGCTAGCCATGTATAATAATATAGAAGGAGCACAGAAGATGTTTCTACTCTCATGTAAGGCTGCTTGCTATATTGCTTACCCGACTCCGAAGACAATCAGCCAGGTTTCGGCGTGTGAAATTAGCTGCTGCTGTGGGAGACAATTCATAACCTGGAACAAGAGATAAACAGTCATACTTAAAGTGAAGCAAAAGGAATAACAGCACCCCAAATCATTCCACTACCCCTGTTTTTACATCCTTCCACTCTCTGTACGCCCAGAGTACATAAAGTACACAGAACGAGGAGTACAGTCATATTCCTTGTCCCTTTCCCCATGCAACAGTTGTGAAATAGCTGGTCAGCACCGACAGTAATTCCTGGCCACAACACAGAACCAAGCCTTGCTTAAGCTGTTCATTCATCAGCAAACTGTGGTTTCCTCTATAGAAAGAAGGGGGTACAAATACATAGGTATTGGGGAAAAAAGAAAGAAGAAAAACAGGGGAAAAAAAAAGAAATCGAGATACTGATTTTTAAAGCTTATTTAAAAAGAATATTGGGAAAAGAGAGGCTAGAAGTTAGGATGGCCTCAGGGTCACACTTTACAAGGTTTTCTTTTAAAAAATAAATAACTTTATTAAATATGATTTTCAAAAGTACAAGCAACAGAAAAAAAATGTTTCCATCACTATCTACAACATTTTAAAACTACAGTATCTCAAGAAAGGTTGTAATGCCAACAAAACTACAGCCCAGAGGAATGCCATCAGGTGTGTGTTTAATAATGCACTCACTCTGGAAACCCCCTCCCCCACCCCCAGTAAAATGGGACTAGAGCCAAAAGCCACGAATGACCTGCAACTGAGCAGACCCATGCAGAAAATGTAACTTTGGAAAGAGAGACAGCAGGTGGTTAAGTTATTATCAAAAACCAGTGTTACAGCAGGTAAGATTTAGATTAAAATTCTAACAAATATTTATTGAACAGCAGCTATGTTTCAGAGTCTGTGCCAGGTGCTTTCAGTTTATTGAACTTCATCCTCACAACCAATCTATTAGTGCATATTAAATTATAATGCAAGCAACTGTAAACAAGCAGGAATACTTTTCAATTCTTCACCTAATCCCCTAAACACCACTAAGGATTTGACAGTTATCTTAAAGGCAGAAAGATCTAATGCCTATTTACATTTAGATTTTTCTCCTTTCCCTTATTTTAGCTCAGTTCTTGACCTTTAATATGCATAAGAATTACTGTGTAGAGTTACATACACAAAACTACACTTGACAGGTAATTTAAAAGATTTTAAAGGCCATTTTAATCATACATGATTTTTGTTTTGTGCACTGACTTTAAACCCTAACACCCACAGAACAAGCAACCCTCTCAACTCTTGTTTACTCTCCCTCCCTCTCCCAGGACAGGACAGTGAAATATTGCTGTAGTTACTGTACTTGAGAAACATTATTAGCATCCCTCACCTGCCATGTAGGCACAAAATAGAGAACCACTAAAAAATAATTCTTGAAATATTCTCAACTTGCTTAAACCTGAGTGCCACGTGCTTTACGTTCTTTTTTCATCTTTGAATTCTCTGTGGTACTAGCCAGAGTGCTTAAGATAGAGGAGGCCCTCAAAAGTATTCATGGAACTGGGGCGCCTGGGTGGCTTAGTCGTTAAGCGTCTGCCTTCAGCTCAGGTCATGATCCCAGGGAGCCCGGAGTTGGGCTCCTTGCTCAGCGGGGAGCCTGCTTCTCCCTCTCCCACTCCCCCTGCTTGTGTTCCCTCCCTCATTGTATCTCTCTCTGTCAAATAAATAAATACAAATCTTAAAAAAAAAAAGTATTCATGGAACTGAACGCATGATGCTAAATTTGCTGCCTAAAATCTATATAAATGGGCCATATCTAGCTATTTTATACAATTATATTCAATTTAAGTTCTTTCACAGTTCCACATTATATCAGTGCTGTGTATAAGTGTATTAAACTGTGAAGTAAATAACTGAAGTAAGGTCCTTTCTGCTAGGGTGTCACTATAAACTTTCCTGGGTCATAAAGCTAGTGGCTAGTATTATCTGATAGTGAGGCTTCCTCTAATGAGGAAATCCTAGTGAGGAATCCTCTAATGAGGATTAGAGCGCATTAGCCCCAGAGGGAACTCACAAAAATCCTAATTATCTTCCCAGACAAGAATCTACCAGTAAGGCAAGGCAGAACTCTTCTATGACAGTAAATCTCCCACAGTGACACAGAGCATTAAGCTTATAAACATTTTACATATTATTCATTAATATTATTATTATCCCATTTTAGAAGTGAGGAAAATAAAGACCAAAGAGGCTAAGTGACTTGTCACATTAAAAAAAATAGTAAAACCAAGTTTAACTGAGGTCTTTTAGCTCTGAAGTTCAGATATACTTTAGCTCAAATAACATCCTCTGAAATACCTAACACTTAAAAAAAAGTCTGATACTACCATGTTCATCTCCAAGGTGGCCCTCAAGTATCAGTGTTACAACGGTTCTCTTTTCGGCTCTGGGATTTTTGCAGAAGATCTTTAGGATCAGGAGGGTCTAGATAAAGTTTTAAAAGTAGGAAGATTCAAATAAAAATATGACCACACTGGTCTGCTCATGTGTAGAATTGCCAGTAGATTCTTTTTTAGTTCAAATTTAAAGACAAATCAACCACAGTTACATTCCAAGTATTACCCACCATTTCTCATCTTATAAAGTTGCACATTTTTCTGAATATATTCTGCAAACTGTACAGTGTCTCCAGCCTCTCCAACACATAGGAGTAAGATTTTTTCACTCATCTTAAACATCTTGTCATGATCTGCTCAAAGAAAAAAAGTGTTAAAAATTCATCAGAAATTTACTGCTCTTATACAGATAGTCACAAACAGGTTTAACAATCATTATATTGAATACTTTTACTAATTACTGTTTTTAGAAGACTTTAATGGGCAACTATATTAATTATTCTCTTTCACTCTCCATGTTAAACCCATTGGTGTATTTTATTAAGGTCAATCTCAGTTGGAGAATATATTTGAGTGCTGACAATTGAAAACACAGTTAAATACATTTGAAGGCACCAGAAATGCAAAAACTGAACCTTCAAAGAAACTGAAGGAATCAAGCCAATGGCCATTATCTTTAGGTTCATGATTTCAAAGCCTTGAAATGTCTCTATAAATACAAATGTTAGTTATTTTATTTATACATACACAAAAGCATATATGAAGGACCAATGCTACAATGAAAATTAAGGAGTCATCTCGAGAAAGAACAAAAAAAAAAATAATTGAGACTATAAATCACCTCAAAAAGTAAATCAACACCATTTCCAAAGCAAAGAGAAAATTAAAATGACTGCCAGAGCAAAAATTCTAAAGAATATTTTAACACTATTTAAAAATACCGGGGCGCCTGGGTGGCTCAGTTGGTTAAGCGACTGCCTTCGGCTCAGGTCATGATCCTGGAGTCCCGGGATCGAGTCCCACATCGGGCTTCCTGCTCGGCAGGGGGTCTGCTTCTCCCTCTGACCCTCTTCCCTCTCATGCTCTCTATCTCTCATTCTCTCTCTTTCAAATAAATAAATAAAAAATAAAATCTTAAAAAAAAATAAAAAATAAAAAAATAAAAATAAAAATACCTCAAAAATTCCAATGGTCTAATCTTATCTAGTTGAACCAGACTCATTCAGATTACATAGATAAATAAATATTCAGATAGCAATTAGTGCCTAAGGAAGAAAACTCCATATTCAGTCTGTAGCTTCAGAAAAAGCCTAAATCTCCCTATCTCACTCTCACTTTCACTTTTCATTTCTCAAATACTGCTGAATAATCTTCCCTGGGAGACATGTTTCCTGTCTGAAAGATTCTGAAATGTCAAAATCCCTTAATAGGATTTAAAGAACAAAATGCTACAGTCAAATATTCTACAAATGTTTGAGAGTTGTAGAACCACAAAACAGCTTCTTAGACTTGGAAAAAAACCACACAAATTGTACCTGCAGATATTATCAAACTGCCTTGAAACTCCTGAACAAACACACTTTTATTTGTTATAGGCTACAGATTTAAAGACTGTTAGTTTGCAAACTTGGTCATAAAAGAAAAAAATTCAGGGCGTCTACGTGGCTCAGTCGGTTAAGCGTCTGCCTTTGGCTCAGGTCATGATCCCAGGGTCCTGGGACTGAGTCCTGCGTCAGGCTCCCTGCTCAGCAGAGAGTCTGCTTCTCCCTCTGCCCCCTGCCCCGCCGCTGTTTGCTCTGTCAGAAAATCTTTTTTTTTTTTTAAAGATTTTATTTATTTGACAGAGAGAGAGCACGAGTGGGGGGGGAGGGCAGAGGGAGAGGGAGAATCAGATCCCCCCACCCCCGCAGAGCAGGGAGCCTAACACAGGGCTCGATCCCAGGACCCTGGGATCATGACCTGAGCCGCAGGCAGATGCTTAACCAACTGAGTCACCCAGGTGCCCCCAAAATAAATAAAATCTTAAAAAAAAAGAGAAAAAATTCACTTATGCATATGTTATTATCTATGCAAAGAAAAAAAGACCAGAAGAGTATTAGATGCCACTGGACAATTTTTATTTCTTTCTTTTTGCTTATTAGCATTTCCTAAAATGCCTATACTAAACTTGTATCATTTTTATAAGAACACCTTACTTAATAAGTTTGCATTATTTCCATAATGAGAAAAAAAAGCTGGGATTTTTGGTTTTTAAAATATTTTATTTATTTATTTATTGGGGGGGAAGCACAGAGGGAGAGTGAGAGGGAGAAGCAGACTCCCTGCTAAGCGGAGGGCCCAACTCGGGACTCAATCCCAGGACCCTGAGATCACAACCTGAGCTGAAGGCAGACACTTAACTGACTGAGCCACCCGGGTGCCCTCCAAAAAAGCTGTTTTTATTTTGGAAAGAAAAAAGCTTGTTTACAAAGAATTAATGTCATTTAGAAGAAATGCTAAAATTCTAGGCAGTAAACTGTTCAAATTTGAAAAGAACTTAATACAAGGCCAAAGTGTTTTTTAAACATTTATTGTGTGTCCAATGAGTAGTAAAGGGAGATGTTATAGATGCTAACGGCTCTCTGAGGGAACAGCCTGCATAGCACTAGGGCATTTCTTATCCTTGACAAAGAACTTACAAGATCCACATAGATGAAGCAAACAGACAACAAAATCAACATCAGTATACAATACTGTGAAAGGCCAACTGTACTAGAACCCAACAGACCTTGGTTATTTTTATTTTTTTAAAGTAGGCTCTGCAACCAAGGTGAGGCTTGAACTCACAACCCCGAGATCAAAAGTTGCATGCTCCACTGACTGAGCCAGCCAGGTGCCCCAATTTGTTATAATCTGGGCTCAGCACTCTGAACTTGGGCCCTAATTTTCAAGTGTATAAAATGGTTATACTATCACTTACCCCTATCTAACTCATACATAGGGAAAACTATATATGAACAATATTATACTCAGTATTAGTCAATGTAGTTCAGATTACACATGCTATATGAATTCAGGAAAAAAAGCATTCTGTGTGGGTTTAAGTGCTCTGAGTAATTTTTTTTTAAAGACTATTTTTATTCAGTTGAGAGACAGCAAGACAGAAAGAGCACAAACTGGGGGAGGGGCAGAGAGAGGAAGAAGCAGACTCCCTACTGAGCAAGGAGCCTGACATGGGACTCAATCCCAGGACCCTAGGATCATGACCTGAGCTGAAGGCAGACGCTTAACTGACTGAGCCACCCAGGCGCCCTGCTCTGAGTAATTTAAAAGCAATTCTATACAGATCAGGAGACAAGAGACATGAAATGTTGCATACAATCAAACCAAAGACTTGGGGCACTTTCATAAGCAAACTTCCCTATATCAAAATATCTTACAAAGTGACAAACGAAAAAAACTGATTGGAATTATCATTCTTACTTTATACTTGGAGAAATAAATCCCAAAAGGTTACTCATTTTCAACATTCCTGCTTACCCTACTAAGTTCCTTCATGAAATGAAAGGTAGGAAAAAGTCCTCATAGAATTCCAAAGCTCCTATCATAAAACATTTTATACCAGAAAAGACTATACGGAAAATTAAAGTTGAGTGCAATTATTTCCTATCATTTTTCAAGAACTAACTCAAATTCATCTTCTTTCCATACCACAGTGATCTTTCTTTTCTCTGAATACCCTTAGGCTTTACTCCTGAAATCATTAATTTAAAAACTAATACTGGGGCGCCTAGGTGGCTCAGATGGTTAAGCGTCTGCCTTCGGCTCAGGTCATGATCCCAGAGTCCTGGGATCGAGTCCCGCATCGGGCTCTCTGCTCAGTGGGGAGCCTGCTTCTCCCTCTGCCTCTCTCTCTCTGTCTCTCATGAATGAATAAATAAAATCTTTAAAAAATAAAAATAAAAAAATAAAAACTAATACTGACAGTGATACTTCTTTTGTCATACAAAATCATCTTGTAGTACTTATTTCCTTGTTTTCTTAATGTCTTACACCCCTGTGTGGATTATACAGAGTACCTGTAAAGGTATTGACTTGGTTATTGTTCTACCCAGACTTCATGCTAAATCACCTGTATATCAAAGGTCTTAGTATTCAAAATAACGGACAGATTTACCCTCAAAACAAACTGACTCCTTTGGAAAGCATGATTTACAAATAAAACTTCTAGGGGCACCTGGGTGGCTCAGTCAGTTAAGTGGCTGCCTTCGGCTCAGGTCATGATCCCAGGGTCCTGGGATTAAGCCCCACATTGGGCTCCCTGCTCAGCGGGGAGCCTGCTTCTCCCTCTCCCTCTGCTCCCCTCTACTCCTGCTCTCTTGCTCACTCTATCTCAAATAAATAAATAAAATCTTAAAAAGAAAGAAAGAAAGAGAAAGAAAAAGAAAGAACTCAAGCAAAGTCCCTCAGAGTTCTTTCCATCTCCCTAAGTGATGTCGCCTGACAATCAGATGCCTATCGCTTAACTTCAGAAAATTCCAGATTTAATAATTTTTCTTTCCTTAAACCAAAGATGAACTATAACCTGCCTTCAAAGCTTTCCCTAATCTCTACAACCAGAAAGAATCTTTTCTTCCTCTGAATTACCCAAAAATAATCTCTTCTTCCTCTGCATTACCTGAGAAGCTTTTTTTCATATGTGGCATAATTTTCTAACTTGTACTATAATTATTTGTACACACATCTGAGTCTACATTAAACTGTAACTTCTTTTAAGATACAGGCCACATCAGTCTACGGCCATCCCACCCTGAATGCGCACGATCTCATCTGATCTCGGAAGATACAGGCCACATCTTATTCTTCTTGCATCCCTTCAGAACCTAGCACTGTAATGGGCAACACAGGTGCTCAAAACCTATCTTGTCAAATAAACATGAAGCCATCTGAGCCAAAGCATAATACTTTTTCAAGAGTAGCATGCCTATGATCAATCATGAAAACACAGTCTTAGATTCCACAGGTCAACAAGCAAAATCTTTAAAAAAATTAAGTACTGACTATGGGGAGACAGTATAGTATAGCAGTTATGGGCAAAAGATCGGAGTCAAACTGCATGGGTTTGAACCTGGGTTCTGTCTCTTGTAGTCTTAGGCAAGTTTCTTAACTCTAGGCCCCAGAACTAACATCTGTAAAATGGCAATATGATAGTGCCTATCTTAAAAGGTTAAATGAAATAATGTAAATCGCTTAAAACAGCACCTGTTACATAAGTCCTTAATATTATTACTACTGCCTATTTGTCACTGCACTAAGCATTTGCACCAAACTTTTTCACTCCATCCTCCCAACAAGCTTGTGAGGTTGGTATTAGTAACCTGACTTAACAGATGAGCAAATCTGGCCACTGTGAAATAACATGTACAAAGTCACAAAGCAAATAAGTCCTAAGGCTCCAATTTGCGAACTCCACTAACTACTTAAATACAAGGAACACTTGGCAACCAGTGTCCCGGAAAACTGGAAAAGGAGGATCAGAGCTGAGAAAGGGGAAGGTACAGGCAGCAGAAGGGAAATGCCAAGTTTCTAGTCCCACAGTGTCAGTCTCCCCAGAATGCCATCCTACACCGCCAGCAAACTTACCTCATTAGTAGCGACAACAACAGGAAAACTTAATCAAAGATTTGGGGATCTAGGGAACTTGGTGCCCGGCGGGCGCTTAAACACTTACAAACTGAATTTCCACAGGCAACTCGCGCCTAGGAAGCATTTAGCGAAGGCCAGAGTAGAGCCCTGACCTCGGAGCCCTAAGAGGAGCGAATGCCAAGGCCCTAAGCTAGTCTGCCCGTCTCCTCGTTCCAAAAAATAGGCAAGTGCAGAGCAGGACACTCGGGATTCCACCTCTCAGACCTCCCCGGTTCTCACCCAACCCCCCCTGCCCCCATCCCGAACTCCGTCCGACTGCCCTTACACCCAGGCCCGGCCGGGCCTCGCCTGCTTCCTCTCACCGTCCTTCATCTGGACAATACTGCTAGCGGCCACCTGGTCGGAGGCGACAAGGACATAATCGGGGCCCTGGATGCCGATGAGGTACTCCATTGTGGCGGGAGGCCGAGAGGACAGAGTGTGGGACTCGCCGGCTTCACGGCCTCACCGGTGAGACAGCACCGCCGAGCGAAGATTTCGCGCGACACGGGCCGCGCGACCGTCCGGGCCACCGGCGCTTTCGGATGACGCACAATTGTCGCGAGAGGTTGGAAAGTGGGCGAGGCTTTGGGCGTCTTGAGCCTTACGCCCGCCTTTTTCCTTCTCGGGTCTCTTGCAAGTCTGGTCTACAAGCTATGTTCCTTAGGTAACGCCCAGTTTCTTTACTTATAAATTGAGTTTAAAACTCGCGCGGGGGTAAAATGACACACTACATATAAAGTGCCGAGCACGTGCTGGTGCCGAAAAGGCGTGCACGTTTCTAAATGGCTGTTTCCCTTTGCTCGGTGAAGTATCTCCAGAAACTCCCTTGAAAGCCAGATTACAGAAAAATAGACTTGACGGGAGCCCTATTTACATGTTTCACAAAAGTAAAATATGGTTGAGTTAAAGATCTAAACATGAAGACTAATTATAAAAGATCTCTATAGATGTCCCAATTTTAAATTATATTCAATTGTTACTTCTGGTAAGAGCGACTTGAAGGGAGGACTCTCACTTTTTATTTTATACACATCTGTATTGTTTGAATGTTTTGCAATGCTCATGTATTACCCATTTCTTTTAAAGAGGAACAAGCTTGGCCATCTCTATATCTTGCAGCCATTCTCGAAAAATCCAAAATATTACATGATTAGTTTCTGACATTCACAATTTGGTCTTCATGCCAGCCTTACTTACATGCTAGCTTCCTGAGAAATGGCAGTACAGTTGCAATTCTATTTCCAACACAACTGCAATTCATTTGCTTCTGCAGAAATCTGTAGTCCTCACTCCCTTCAGAATGTTTCTAACAGCTCTCTGCCTGTGAAGGAATATAGAGCCTGAGGAGTTAGGGGCAGCCCATCTATCATAGGATGGATGCCAGGGGCAAGTGAGGTCATTAAGTCAACCATACCACTAAGAACACAGATGCATCCATCATCCTAGAAAGATTCTTTTCTTAAACGCCACTGTGGAGGAAGTCTCTTGAGTCTCTTTCCCACCTCCCTCTCTCTTTGTGTGTGTTTGTATATATTTTAATTGCAAAAAGCACACAGTTGTACTATACACACAAATCATACAGAAGAAATACAGAGTTAAATATCTCTCCTCCTCCCACCAGCAGTAACTACCCATCAGATATCTCTATCCTTCCAGAACTTTGTTTTTCCTTTGTACATACCAATATTCACTCATTCACAAAAGCTGCAGCATTCTGAATTGGAAAATCCAATTTTAAAAATGGACCCTCTTCCCCTCCTCCCCCCCAAAAAGACCCAAGGATCTTTTAAGCTGTATCCTCCCTCTTCCTCTCAGGAAATCCCCTCTAGTTAAGTAATGCTAGAGATTCTCTAATTTCTTGTTAGTGTAAAAGAATGTAGATTTTCAAGACCTAGCTTGTGCTAGCTCACCAAGAATCAGGGAGAATCCTTTCTCTACTTGAAGTCTTAAAATAGGGGCACCTGGGTGGCTCAGTCGTTAAGTGTCTGCCTTCAGCTCAAGTCATGGTCCCGGGGTCCTGGGATCAAGCCTCACATCAGGCTCCCTGCTCAGTGGGAAGCCCGCTTCTCCTTCTCCCACTCCCCTGCTTGTGTTCCCTCTCTCGCGGTCTCTCTCTCTGTCAAATAAATAAATAAAAATCTTAAAAAAAAAATAAAGTCTTAGACTAGGAACGCCTGGATGGCTCAGTCAGTTAAGCCTCTGCCTTCGCTCAGGTCATGATCCCAGGGTCCTGGGATGGAGCCCCAAGTCAGGCTCCCTGCTCAGCAGGGAACCCTGCTCAACGAGGAGCCTGCTTGTCTGTCTCCCTCTGCAGCTCCCCCTGCTTGTACTCTCTCACTCTCTCCAATAAATAATAAATAAGAATCTTAAAAAAAAAAAATAAGTCTTAGAATAACTAAGTCTTAGCAAAAGTCTCTGTGGAAGTTCCAGAAAAAGCATGATGTGGCCAACTCTTTCTATAAAGGGCCAGACAGTAAATATTTTTGAATTTGTAGGTGAAATTGTATCTGTCACAACTACTCAATGATGCCATTGTAGTGCCAAAGCAGCCATAGCCAATACATAAATGAGCAAACATGGTTATAATCCAATAAAACTTTATTTAGCAAAAAAAAAAAAAAAGATGAGGGGGAGAGGGAGAAGTGGATTGGCCCATGGGCTATAGTTTACAGACCCCTGATGTAGTGAGTGGCTTATAAGTCGACACCTGACTTGGCCCCAGTTCTACATCTTCAGACTTTGCTGCAAAATTCAATGAGCCTCAATTTCCCTATTTATAAAGGGACAATTAGAAGAGAGATTTGCTTTGTATTTCTCTTGAGATGAGAAGGAGATGCAGGTTTGGTTGGTTCCATGAGTATAAGGAACTATATCTGCTCCCTTCATGAAGCCTGGGGAGTTTGGCAGCACCTTAAAGAGGAATGACTGCAGTGTACCTAGAGAACATGACTGTAATATGGGAGGCTACCAGTTTTTCAGCAATCCCAAGTGCAAGCTTGATGTGGAAGCCCACACTCAAAAGACCTTGTGAGCTTAGACAATAGAGTTGGGACAATGGTAGACTGGAGATCAGGGGCCTAACCCTAAATATTCAGGAATGTTAAAGTATTTAATGCTGTTGATGCCCCGCCCATCTCCCTTTTGCCTACCTGTGGTAGCTGCTATTCCTCAGCTGCTATAAATGTTGATAACAACTCACAACTGTCCCTTTCTTCAGAGATTTCCCTCAGCCATATGGGAGGCATCCTTGCCTGGGAGGCTATGCACCCATACTCACCCCCTGGCTAATGACTGACGGACACAAGGAGAATAAGTCAATTCTCTTAACTAAAAGTGGGATATAGTTTGGGGTGCCTGGGTGGCTCAGTCATTAAGTGTCGGCCTTCGGCTCAGGTCATGATCCCAGGGTCCTGGGATCGAGCCCCACATCGGGCTCCCTGCTCCGCGGGAAGCCCTCTTCTCCCTCTCCCCCTGCTTGTATTCCCTCTCTCGCTGTGTCTCTCTATCAAATAAATAAAACCTTTTTTAAAAAAATAAATGAAAGTGGGATATAGTTTGTCCTCCACAGTACCCCATGGATCAGTCTAAAGCTAATCTCCAGTCAAGACCACATTCTTGCTTAGGTTCCCCACTACCCTGCCCCAGCCCTGTCTTGCCTCTGTTACTTCCTTTCTCCTGAGAGCAGTTTCCCAATAAATGACTTGAATAAACATCCTCATTCTGGTTCTGTGTCTAGGAATTCAAACTAAAATATTTGGTGCCAAAAGTGATCCTAGAAAGCAGTCTCCAAGGGGTTCTGGAGTAAGAACACTCACCAGGTAGATGACAATGAGGACACCAATGCTGGTGGTAGAAGGCATATTCAGTCTCAAACCTGTAAAACTGGAATTCCTAAGACTTTCACCTGTGTTGAAGTGGAATGGGCTATGTCAAAGATATTTTCAGTCATAGACAAGCCGGAAAAATCCATCACCAGAAGACCTGCATTACAAGAAATATTAAAGGCAGTCCTTCAAGTGAAAATGAGATTATACCAGAAAAAACCCAGATCTCCACTAAGGAATGAAGAGCTCTAGAAATGGTAACTCTGTGGACAAATTAAAAGGCTTTGTTTCTTATGATTTAAATGTCTTTAAGAAATAATTGATGGCGGGGTGCCTGGGGGGCTCAGCTGGTTAGGCATCCAAGTCTTGATCTCTGCTCAGGTGGTGATCTCAGGGTGGTGAAATGGAGCCTTGTGTCGAGCTCTGCACTGGGCCCGGAGTCTGCCTAAGATTATTTCTCCCTCTCCCTCTGCCCCTCTGTGCTGTGTGTGCTCTCTCTCTTTCTCTCTCTCTCTCTCTCAAATAAATAAATAAATCTTTAAAAAGTAAAACTAAATTAAAATCTTTTTTAAAGAGATTTTATTTATTTATTTGACAGAGAGAAAGAGAGAGAGCACAAGCAGCAGAAGCAGCAAAAATTTTACTTATTTACTTGACAGAGAGCACAAGCAGGGGGAGCAGCAGGCAGAGGGAGAAGCAGGCTTCCCGCTGAGCAAGGAGCCTGATGCGGGGTTCGATCCCAGAATCCTGGGATCATGACCTGAGCCAAAGGCTGTTGCTTAACAACTGAGCCACCCAGGTGTCCCAAATAAATTAAGTTGAAAGAAAGAAAGAAAGAGAGAGAGAGAGAGAGAGAGAGAAAGAAAAGAAGAGAGAGAGAGAGAGAGAAAGAAAGAAAGAAAGAAAGAAAGAAAGAAAGAAAGAAAGAAAGAAAGAAAGAAAAAGAAAGAAAAAGAAAAAGAAAATCATCTGTTGGGACGCCTGGGTGGCTCAGTCAGTTAAGCGTCTGACTCTTGATCTCAGCTCAGGTCATGATCTCAGGATTGTGAGATTGAGCTCCGCATCAGTCTCAGTGCTGGGTGTGGAGTCTGCTTGGGATTTTCTCTCTCCCTCTGCCCCTACCCCTCCTCCCTCTCTAAAAAATAAAATAAAAATAAAGAAATAATTCACTATTTAAAGGAAAAATATAACAATATATTATGGGGTTTGTGGCATATTTGGAGGTAAAATGTAGGGCAAAAAAAAAGAAAAAAGCACAAAAGCCAGGAGAGAGGAAATTGGAATGTATTGCCCTAAGGTTCTTATATTATACACAAGGTGGTATATTGCTTGAAGTTAGACAATGATAAGTAAAAGATGTATGCAATAAACCCCAAACAAACACTAAAATAACACAGGGTTATAGTTAATAAGTCAAAAAGACATAAAATGGAATAAAATACTCAATCAAAAAAGGAGACAAAATAGAATAAGAAAAAAGGAACAAAAACGGGCATATGGGTGGCTCAGTCATTAAGCATCTGCCTTCAGCTCAGGTCATGATCCCACTGGTCTTGGGATCGAGCCCTGTATCGGGTTCCCTGCTCAGCAGGAGGCCTGCTTCTCCCTCTCACACTCCCCCTGCTTGTGTTCCTTCTCTCGCTGTGTCTCTCTCTGTCAAATAAATAAATAAATAAATAAATCTTTAAAAAAAAATAAAAAGGAACAAAAAGCATATGGGATAAACAGAAAAC